AGGTTTTTTCAGAAAAAATATGAGTTTTTACAACCATCTACGCTTGATTTTTCAAGCCTGAGATAGATGCAGTTTTCATTAGTAGCTTTTTATGTGCTGTTTAAATCTTGTTCCTTTTGCACTGTTCCTTTCATTCTTTCATATTTCCCCCCCTCCCCCCCCTCTCCTTTCCCGTTCCCTCGGCCCCCATTTTCAAGAATTCCCTTGCTGTTACCTGAATTTTTCCACTTTTTTTGTTCATTTAGTTGGAGTTAAAAGTGTACAAATTACATTAAAATTGGTTCGGAAGAGGTCGGGGGTTAATTGTTACGTTATAATTACAGGTAGTATTACCGGAAGGTGAGCGCTTTCGTGTCCGGTGCACAGCAGTGATCAACGTTGGACATTTCTTTGTGCAGATGGTTAACGATCAAACAATGCAAACGTTGCCTCGGCTGGACGTGTACATGCTTGGTGTTTATGTGCAACCGAGCGGTATACCGGATATGCCAAGGCCCTTGCAACGTTAGTAGCGCCACTCTTTTCATGTTGTTTCATCAAAATTTAGTTTACTACGAGGCTAATTTACGAATTTTTTAATGCATAACTGCTTACTAATAATACTGATTTATGGCGGTCTGTCTGCCAGACCATTTATAAATTTTAACGTTCGAATTTTTAAGCTATGCTTTAGAGCAAGTGGTACTGCGTATGTTCTGGCTTTTTTTGTTTTTTATTTTCTTAATTTTTTTAGTTTTCCTTTTTGTCTTTTTTGTTTTTTTTTTAGTTTTATTTTTTTTTTTTTGTTTTGTTTTAACCCTTATTTCTTCGTTTATTTTGACCCTTATTTTTTCGTTTTTCAAGTCAGTTTTTGTTGCATGCGGGGGTTTTTTACTAATTTTTTCCTGAATTTTTTTAACATTTTTTTTTCTGGCATTTAGGTTTATCCTTATAAAATTGCTAACGCGGAACCCTTCATACTAGTTCTCCAGACTTTTGTGGTATTTTGCTCAAAGTGTGTCTGGAGAAACAAGATTTGCAACCTCTTTTTGGCAAGTTTTCAAATTCCGCCGAATGTACAGTGCCTATACTCTTTAGGCGTTTTTTTTTCCACGCTCGTTACTGGGCTAATCCTATCACATCCGTTTTGCGCATGGAATGAGTGGCGTCCAGGTCTGTGTGTGGTACCCAAAATGTCCTCGGGTACAGCTGAACTTGCTTATGTTAATTTCGAGTCGGTTTTTTATTTTGAACTCTGCCTGAGCTCTTAATGGATTCACATCATTATGGTTGCTTATGTGCGTTCGATTCGCCACTGTTGTTTGCATTAATTGCATTTTCCATTTTGTTCGGTTTTCAAAATGTTGAGGGGGTGTTTTTCAAAACATTTTGGACCCTTTTTCGCTTAAAAGAATTAGGATTTTTTATTTTTTCTAAGTATTATCAATATTCATCAACAGTCTATGTTTTTTTATAATCATCATTCGTGTTTTTGTTCGTAGCTACAGCCCTCAATTCATGCTTTTGAGTAACAAATAGTTGTACATTACTAGAACTTGGCGGTTTCCGTATTTAAAAGCGTAGTAATTAGGATTGGGATGGATTTTCTCATCTCATGTGTTTGAAAGTTTGTTGTTTATCTCTGGTTTTTTCTTTCATCTCGAGTTTTCTTTAAAATTTTTTTCGTACGATTTTAAAGTTTTTTTTCATTTGAAAAAATTTCCATCTTATGTCTGGGCGTAAAAACCCCAAATTTCGGTGCATCAGTATCTCTGGGTTTTTTTTTTTTTTGTTCCTTTGCCATAAATTGTTCATAAGTTTTAGCGGGCAAAGTATGTGCTGCCCCGTTCCATAATTGGTGGTATCGTGCGGTGACGGTGCAGTATTATGCGGAGGAAGATGAAGTTCTTGTTAAATTAGCTGATTATGGTGGATATTTGCGCCTTCCACGATCCGATTTACGGCAGATCAGGTTAGTCAGTTTCTGGATTCGCACAGTTGCTCAAATTCTTTGTACTTGCGCCTCCCATCTATCCATCCGGTCTTGTCATTGCATGTTACACCTTTGATTTATTAGTGTGCTCCAGGCGAAGTGCTGAGCTAGAAACGAAATTTTCTTATACAGTTTTTTTAGTGGCACAATAGTTGCTCTTTGGTCCTTAATAGACTGCTAGATTTGCTTGAGTTCACAGGATTCCAGGGACTTCCACTAAATAAGTTTTGAACAGGTCACTTACTGACCAGACAAATGGCCAGTCTTTACGGACCATCCATTTCTATGAAATATAAGCTTACGTTGTTCGGCAGTGCCAGCTTGAATATGAAAAACCGTAGCGGCCGCTTAGCCTCCCCGGAAAAGTTGCGCATATAAGTTGGATTGCACGACGTTGGTGTGGGTTGGAAGGATATTACAGCT